AATGACAACACAGCTTCCCAACAAAGCATCAAATGCGTAAGAAAATAAAGTTTGGTGTGATTTACTCAGAATACGGTAAATTCGACCAAAGAGACCGCATCAAAGTTTTGTTTCACAAAACGTTATGCTCCTATCAGATGTTTCCCCCCTCCCCCTCCCCCTCAAGGGCGGATCCGGGGGGGGGGGCAAAGGGGGCCATGGCCCCCCCCAAACCGAAACCAATTTTTTTTTTTTATGTGACGTCGCAATAAAGGCAGGCAATGAGTACACTTTTCCTAAAAAAACATTCGTTAAAGTGGTCAGAAATTGCCTCAGATCGCACCACAGAGCATCTAGAATCCAAAAAAAAATTCGGGGCCCTTAAGCGGACCCCGAACCCCACGCCGTAATTTTTTGACCCACTTTTTTGGGGAACCAAATTTTTTTTTGCCCCCCCCCCAAAAAAATTGTGTTCTGGATCTGCCCTTAACTCTAAAGGGAGTTTAAAATTGACGATAAATGCCAGCACTTGTCAGGCTTTCACGTACGGTCGCCTCGTGGAGGCCGCCATTTTGATAAAATACAAAATATAGGGTTGGTGCACGCTGACCATGCAATCAACACGTTTGGAAACTTTTCTGTTTAGGATTGCGTCACAGTTTCAAAAGTCGGCTCTTATTGGCTGACGCGCTGGCTGACGCGCGGGCTCCGTCGAATGACAGATCCTCAGACTACGTATACTATTGAACATCGTACTGCATTACATGGGTTGTCCAAACGCAACATGACTTAACTTCACGGCGGCTCATGTTGTTCGTACTAAATGATGTGCTTACGAGATGTATGTGGCTTGGAAACTAACTGGTTATATCACCATTTTGTGGTTATGTTACCAAACCCACATACATGCATAGGCCAACATCTTAACATTTTGATGTGAAATGCACAATGTGCATTGTGTGTCAGATGAAATAATCACTCAAATTAGTGATTTAACGCCCTCACTCCTTTAGTGGATATGTTTGCTAAAGTGGGTTTTATGAAAGAGCTACAGTCTTTAATAGACTACTATTGTTTTTTTTAAAAGTCCAAACAAAACTCCTTTGTACATGACGAATCTTTTACATACCACATAGGACTACAAATTCGTGATTCAAGACAATCGATTAAAATATAAGGAATACTAAGCCCAGAGTTGTAACGAGTCACTGATCTTTATGACTCGAGTCGCGTCGAGTCATTTTAAAGAAGTGACTCGAGTCGAGTCGAGTCATCAGGTCAAGAAGGTCGAGTCGAGTCGAGTCACAGTGTGTAGTCGAGTCGAGTCCAGTCCAGTATTAGCTCGAGTCAATTCGAGTCACAAATATTTGAACATTATACAATAAATAAACACAAGAGAGAAAGTCTTTTTTTGGCTTTTTAAATTTTACATTCGAGCTATGTGATGAAACCACATTTCTCTCTTAATGAAAATAAAAGGGGTGCTAGCTGATCCGATGCGAAGGAGATACCCAAGATGGCAGCCAATATGGCCGCCAAAATTGGTAAACACTGGTGGGAAAAAGACATATATAAGCCAAATTATGTGATAAAAGCATAAATAAAATGGTTAGTTAATATATGGTTAAGACCCTCAGGAACTCATTTCTGGTATCCTTTTTCCCTATCATGCTTCAAATTCAAGATGGCGGCCAATTTGGTGGCCAATATGGCCGCCATATTGGTAAAAAAATGGAAAAAGTCACATATCTGCCCAATAGTATGATAAAATCATAAATATAATTGTAAAATATGATTTTGACCTCAAATTCATTTCAGGTATCTCTCTTTTTGCTATCATGCTTCAAATTCATAATAATGACTAGGATGGTGGCCAATGTGGCCGCCAATATGGTAAACACAAACGAAAAAAGTCATATATCAGCCTTTAAATGTGATAAAAGCATGAATACAATTTATGGCCGCAATTGGCTGCCATCTTGAATTTGAAGCATGATAGCAAAACAAGGATACCAGAAATGAGTTTTGAGGAAAAGACTGATTTACCGTAACGTCATTAAGTGCAGAGTGACATCTCGTGTCAAATATAAATCACAACTTGTTACAATAAAACATTCTAACGTATCCGATCAAAAAAGTTGTCGAAGTTTTCTTCACATAAAAATCCCCTTTTAAAACCAACTGTTGCGGCCACACTTTCGCTCGTACCCACCGCCCTGCAAACAGGGCGCTAGGATACGCTGATGAGCTGATCTTGTGAAGGAAGTGACCTATGACCTATGTATAAAGCATCTGGCTGCAGCTGTTTAAGACCGCAGTTAGCCAATGCGCGCAAATTCTATCCGACAACTTTTCCATAGAAATGCGCACATTCCATACGGGATGTGATTTCTGTTTCATTGCGGACCATGTGGACAAATTTTGAGCGTCGCATGATATGCAATCTGACCCATCGTGAATTCGAAACGGAGCCTGAGCAAGTGACAAGAATTGAAAATTTACAAAACAGATAAGTTTTACAGATTTTCCCATATTATTACGCTTTTTCAAAGAAATAAAGCATATATGAATGTGAATAAAAGAGTGATGACTCAGTCGGCGTTTCAAACCTTGCCAGAGCCATGGCCGTGATGACTCGCGGGTCACAGGTCACAGGTCACAGGTCACGCAAAATTCAACCAATCAGAGCGTGAATTCATTAGAGTATCCCAGCGTCCTGTTTGCAGGGCGGGGGTGCGAGCGGAGGCGGGGGGGGGGGGGGGGGGGGGGGGACGAGCGAACGGCCACACTCAGATTTCTCCTTTTTAATATTGAGGGCGCTGTTCTAGAAAGGCGGTAATGAACGAACGTTCAAAAGCAACATATGGCTTCTTCTTCTTAGCAAAGTTTGCATTTTTTTTGGTGATTTCTTCGCCGAAAGCAATATTCCCGCCGAGGTTTATTATGTTGGTACATCAGTTTAATCTTAACCAAATTATAGAAATGATTTATTAGTGATTATGCTATTACATGTATAATTACTGTAGCAGTTGCATTTTTTTAACGGCTGCATAGCGGATAATGTTGGGAAAATGTTAGGATGTATATATGGGTCGAGATTAGGGTGTATCATTAACCCTTCCTGCATTGAAACTAAGTAATCTTTAAGATCAGTAATCAGTGGAACTGCTGTATTAACACTGGGTTGGTCAGAGTTGGTAATTTCATATTCGTCTAGCCCAACTGCATCTGGCCGTACAGTATTATCGCAAGCTCTGTAGTACGGCCAGACACCCAATGCTTCCCTAAACGCTGAACTCTGACGTAGCGATTTTGCTACCAATTTTGATCGAGATCATCTTCTCATCCAGGGCAGACATTTCCAAAAATAAGGTTCCTAGTTGTAGAGAAACTCATACCTTTTCGAAAAAAAACGTTCTTTTGTCCCAAAATCTTCATCCATATTGCCAAAAATACGACATTCAGTCATCATCTCCTACAAATATCGTCCCAAATTGTTCCTCCATGCGATTTCAAAATGGCGGCCGTGTTGTAATTTATGCATTATGCGGGTGCGCTTAGGCAATATTATGAATATGCATTAAAGTTCATGACGTTTGTCGATCGCACGGCGCGGCTGGCCATACAAACACGATGTCATGAACTGAACAATGCATATTGATAACCTTGCCAAAGTGCGCCCGCAAAATGCATACATTACAATGCGGCCGCCATTTTGAAATCGCATGGAGGACCAATTTCGGGAAGATACTCGTGGAAGATGATGACTGAAAGTCGTCTTTTGGCCAGATGGATGAAGATTTTGGGATAAAAGAACGTTTTTTTCGAAAAGGTATGAGTTCCTCCACGACTAGGAACCTTAACATTGGAAAGGTCTGTCCTTTTGATCGAGATAATCTCGATCAAAATCGGTAGCAAAATCGGTATATCAGAGTTCAGCGTTTAGGGGAGCATGGGTGTCTGGCCGTACTACAGAGCTTGCGATAGTACTGTACGGCCAGATGCAGTCGGGCTAATATCCGTCAATCCATTTACATGTGTAAATATCTAAACATTGCTTTAGTCATGCGCATGTGCATATTATTATTGAGCTAATTTTGTTTGAATCGAGAAGTTACACAAACAATGGACAGTTTCTTATGACATCCATTGTTTTCAATTGTAATTTAGTCATGTGCCTGATCATCATGTATGACTATAACCGTACTGCATCTGTACTGCCACTCAATAATGTTCCTGGATCTGCAGCACAGCATTGTCATACTTAATATTTTGCAGATCATCAACCAAAATTATGTGTATCTGAAAATTATGTGTATCTTTGTCAATAATTGTTTCATATTTCAATTCACTGTTTGAAAACTTGACACTTAAGGTGGCACTTTTAGGAGGAATCGTTTACCGATCTATTTATGATACTTGTAAAATAAGGACTGCACAATTGAGGCTATACAGTGTGTATAAAAAATGTAAACAAACGGAATGCCAGACGTAGAATGTGTGACCAACATAAATAATATAAGAATGGTTTGAAATATAAGCCTTTTCACTCTCCTCCAAATGATAATGATAATTAATCTTTGACAGAGTTATGAGTAATTTTCCAAGAGAGATCAAATTGACCACGGGACCAAGTTTTCGATTTTAGGCATTGGGATGAAGGTAGCCTAATTGCCTCTGCGTGGATGATTGCCTGTCTACACAACTATAGAGTAAACAATTCTAAACACTTTGTTGCTGTCAGTTTGTAAACATGTTTACATGCTAAATATTTTAGCATGAGATATAGCAAGAAAGTGTTTAGAATTGTTTTGAGCAAAATTTCCCATCAACCTGTGGTTTCCATCAACCATCGCCCTTCGCGAAATTCAGTCATGATAAGAGTTCAAGGAGTAAAATCGTTGTAGCGCCCTCTTCAAAATGCGCTTTTGCAAAATTTAAAAAGCGTACGTCGTGGTTCCATGGCAAGAAAAAAAGAAATAGCCCCCTCAATCGATGGAATGTTCGTACAAGAACACTGTGCTATCGGACTTCAGAGGAGACTGCATTGTCAGTGTCCATCATAGGTGCGGGTATTGTTAGTTGTAGGCTTGGCTGGCCAAGCATTCATCTCAACTATGCCAGCAGCAATCCACAGTTACGCACAACTGCAACAGATGGAATGGCCAGCATTGTAAAACTACTAGCACAATGCCGAGGAAAGTTCAAGGCGACAACGCGGAAGCAGTCCACCACCGTTGTGATGGGAAATCACACAAAACAGCCATTTTGGGGTATCACTATGGGCTTTTCACTGCACAGTCTGCAACAGTATGCTGGCTGTTGGCAATGAGCGCCTGAAATACCCAACGGTGTTCTGGCTGAAGTAGCATCGCATCGCTGGCACGGATCAATGGGTGGAAATAGTGTGATTTATATGACAGGTTTGACTCAAGAAGAGCACACAATACGCTACGTCTGTTACTGATGACAGGAGTTAGGATAATGCGTGTATGGTCCGTTTGGAATCAAGTAATCACCGTTGTCTGCCAAATTGAAAGTGGAGTACAAGCTGTTTAGGCCTGTGTCGTCATCGCTGTTACCATGTGAATACATTTGAAAGCTATCTTATAACACAAGGAATGAATTGGATATCGACAAGAAAGACATTTGTAGCAGGTTGTTATCTTCGAAATCATGTTTTGGTGAGGCTTTACAACCTGGAACCAAAGGGGTCATTTTTCGGATCGGACGTAGGGCCAAGCCTGACTCATTTTTCTCGCCCCTAGTCTCCGTGTGTTCTGCTATGCCACACTGTGCCAGCCCTACTCCACATGCCTTCGGCCCGGTGCTGGTGTGTTTCCTAGCAGTCATACTTGTTCTAAGTGCCCTTCCCCGATTCGCAAGCTGCTCTAGTAGCTCTACATCGGGCTGGCTGGCCTCCGACTTTCCGGACCCACGAGTGAACCCACCCGGAGATTGCGGGTTTACATCGGGCGAGTTTGCCTGGGTGACGCCCGCTGCCGACCCCGCTAACGCCACCAATTGGGTATGCGATCCGGACCGTGTACTGTCGCTTGACGAAGGTTTGTTACATAGACGTCTTGTTTAAACCCCATTTCAAATACAATTGTTGAAATGGGGACTCGGATTTTATGCTGATACACAGGTTGGGAAAAGGAATTCACCGTAAAAACCTACAGTTTTTTTCCCAATGAAACATAGTGCCTATGTTAAAGACATGTAATGCGCCTATCATTGTTTCCCCCACCCCTCCCCCCGGGCTGCTCCAGCCAAGACGTGGGGATTGTCACTTTTGAACTGACAAAATCCCCACCCCACTCGGACAAAATTTAAGTGACAAACCTCAAGGGCGGATCCAGAACACATTTTTTTTTGGGGGGGAGGCCAATTTTTTTTGGGTCCCCCCAAAAGTGGGTCCCAAAAATGACGGCGTGGGGTTCGGGGCCCGCTTAAGGGTCCCGAAAAAATGTTTGGCTTCTAGATGCTCTGTAGTGCGATCTGAGGCTATTTCTGACCAATTTAACCAAACCTTTTCGAGGAAAATATGGTGGTGTCCGCAGTGCCTGCCTTTATTGTGACGCCACTTTAAAAAAAAAGAAAGATTGGTTTCGTTTTTTTTTTTGGGGGGGGGGGGGGCATGGCCCCTGTTGGCCCCCGTGGATCAGCCCTTGACAAACCCTGACCATACCTCGACATACATACGTGGGGCGCACTAGTTTTGCCTTTCCATGTGGTATGGCAAAGGTAACAATGTTATTTGAGTGAGGGGGAGGGGGAAACATCTGATAGGAGCATAACGTTTTGTGAAACAAAACTTTGATGCGGTCTCTTTTGTCGAATTTACCGTATTCTGAGTAAATCACACCAAACTTTATTTTCTCACGCATTTGATGCTTTGTTGGGAAGCTGTGTTGTCATTTTCCGAAGTATTTTCTCTTCCTCCTGTTTCATTTCGCCCATCTAAAACCACTACTGTGCCTCGAACACAGCGAGCAATTATACGGCATTCTCACCAACGTCAATGCATGAGATCCCTCGTAGAAGATCCCCCATTAAAACTGGAAGGAAACCTATCTTCATAATTATTGTCCTTGTTCAGAAAAGCAGACCAATCCGGACACCTAACACTTTTTATCACAGAGGCCCCGATCAATGGTGACAGCATTGCGCTAGCTGTTGTTCCAATAATTCATCATGGGGCAGTAACTTTGTACAACAGCTAACACAATGTTTTCGCCATTGGAGGGGGCCTCCGTGAGTGCTCAGTGCATTCCAAAGAGTAAAAATTCACTCTATTCGAGTGACAACTTACTCCCGTGCACCGACTGAAACAAGGGGCCAGATGCGTTTTCACTCGAGTTGCTACTGGATTAGTTCTTAAAGCTAGTATTTAAAGCTAACGTTAGAGTGATTTCAACCCAAACTGTCTGTTCCCTGTAGTTTCACCTTTTGAAAATTAGTGAGATCCCTTACCCGGATTCGTTTGTTCTTCCAGGCGCGGATCCAGGGGACCAAAATTTGACACCAAAAAATAAAAAAAAATCAATTATAACACTTAAGTGCACCAGTAACAATGTACATGTACTGCATTAATATGTCCGCCCATCCGCAACAAACAGACGTAAAAAAAATCTGACTTGCCTGAAACTCCTGCGAAAAATTCCTGGATCCGCCCTTAAAAACGTCTTTTAGAAAATGCTAAAGCTAGTAAAAGATTTACAGAATGTTTTAGATAAATTGCGTTCCGAATGTTATGTGCATGGAATTCTCCTGTACTCCCCATGAATTACTTTTATAAATCACTTCTAATTCCATTCATCCAATTGTCTGAACTGACAGAAATAGGCCTATAATGTCATGCATACGAATTAAAAATATCATAAGAGCTTAAAAATCAATACATATCAATTCTTTCGACCTTGTTGTGCATGTTATTTGTTTTATCACTGAAACTACATTATGGGACCCTAGTATTATGATTAAAAATGTAAACACACTAATCAAAAGGTCTCAATATGTCCGATTTCAGTGGTGGCTTTTTTATCTTCGACTTGGACAAGACTGTGTTATATTTTGCAAAATTGTATTTATTCAGTATCATTTCATCATATAAAAATACATGGGCATGATAATCTGATTCATTATGTCCCCACAGCTATATAATTGTGCTGTCCCCTGAACTGAAATCCTCAATTATTCTGAAATTATTCCCAGCTATGCATCCTGCAGCAACAGAATTCTTGACTACGGCAACACTATGCCCACACAATGCATTCAGGCAGAGAGCGCACGCACGATAGAGCAATATGACAATATTGTTACCGGGGTACCATCCAAAAACATCAATACAGACGACCTTTGGACTAGCTGTTCCCAATACCCATCACGTACCACGCATTATATTGATGCTGTACACGTATATTTTGTTATTAAAAGAAAAATACCATACAAGACAACGAAGCCGGCATTTTTCTATATATATCTCCACTCCGTTCTCTGTTTGCATAATATATCATCTGGCATTTTTTCCATATTTGTATTGTATGCACGATTTTCTCCTATACAACGAGATTACTTATAAATCCTTATCTCAAACACTACTCCTTCCAGTCCTGGCCATCTCAATAATTGTCTTACCACTGCATAATTATAAGCAGGCTGATATATAAAGAACACAACTGGCATGCTTGGATATAAATTAATAATGTTATTATTCAGTATGCATCCTTACTAACTGGGTGGTTTATGTATAGTATACGGTCTATTGGCCGAGACTTATGTTTTATGGACTCGTTGATACTTGCATAGTCAGTACATTTACACGTCGTCACACAATGTGACTTCATTGAACCTACAATTAATTGATTCGCAACGTTTTAAACTCAGTATATATCGCAAAAGAGAGTAAGATTTTAATGCAAATTTTCACAACCATTAATACCATTACTTTGAAAAGATAAATGTGTGTAGTTTTGTGACCTTTACTGCATGTGAACCCAGTTATAATATAAAAATTAACGCACAAATAAATAATTTGCTTTCTAAATATATTACAATGAAATTTCACACCAGTTGTAAGAATTGACGAATTGTCCAAAATTTGACGAAACTGTACAAAGGATCTTTATATTAGAGTCACCCTTTGTGAATTTGTTTAAGTATAGAGTACCTAAACACTTATTTGTCCACAATCAGGAAGCCAGGTGATCGATATACGGCGAATAGTACCAGGTGAGAAACAGCCTAAATCCTGACACTTAGGAAAACCGACCTCCTACTTGACTTTTCTTCTAGACCCTATACACATCTCAAAGATATCTTTTCCTTGTTTGATGCTGGATCTGAAGCTTGTATACATGTGCGCATGCATCTTACCAAAGACGGGTTTAACACACATAATGAATTTTCAACTTTGATATCGTCCTAGCTGGAGTGGGGGTGGGGGGGGGGGGGGGGCAGGCGAAAACAATTATCTGCGAGACTCATGGTTTTCACGTAGGCGGGGCACTCGGGCAGAACGACACACAAAAATCAACAGAATCACAATTCATTTTCGAAAGTCACGCGCCCGCTGTGCTTTACGACTCGTAACGGCAGGGCCTAGTTACTGGTTGTAGATATATGTATATAATTTGGTGAGGATGTTTTATTTTGGCAAAGAAGATTGCTAGGCTGTCATGACTGTCTGGCACAAATATGAGACCGACCAGCTGGGACGAAAATTGCGCGTTGGACAAAAATACCAACTAGCCTAGTTGACTGAGGCCGCACAACAGTGCACATTGCGAGGTATTATTGTCTGGAGTATTGAGTTTCGAGCGGCGCAGTCTTCCTTGATGAATCGCTTCCTGAGGCAAGACCGACGGCTGTTGTCATTGTGGAGTGTTGAGAGGAGGATGAGCCTTGTTCGCGAGATGACCAATTTTATGTAGTGTTCATCAAATCCATTCTTTCATTCAAACATCAATCTGGCATGAATAGGCCAATGGTACATGGTAGGTGATGTGATCATGTTAAGAGGATGAGACTTTTAGGGTGATAATATGATGATACGAATGCAACAGGGATAGTGGTGGTACTGCTGAGAAGCGAAGAGGTGGTATTCATGGTAGTATGGTCCCCGACAAAAACGATTATGACTTCTGACAAATCGTAGGTCAGATAGGCGCCAAGGCATGTTCACCAAAAACTGCAGGATCCTGCTCGTTTCTGATAATGTCCCACGTTTTTCGAGTACTCTTTCGTTGACAGTCGGATATTTTCGTGTTAAGTCGGGTATTTCCAGGTGCTGTTTATTAATCAACAAAATATATGTCATGCTTGTTATCAGCCCTTAAAAATGAGTTCATATATTCAATACTTGCAGATACGAATTTCAATGCCAGGCGTTTTACAAGTGTCTTTATAATTATTGTAATATCCAGCCAGATGGCTGGGCTTTGGTGGGGCATGTTCTACGTTTTATAGTGAGACGGTTACCGGACCTACGATCTGTTATGAGATGTCAGGATCGTCTTGTCAGAGAATATAGTATTGCCAGAATGGCGGTCAGGGTAATGCTATTGGTAATGATGATGTAGGCTAGTATGGCGAGTGTTTTGGTACAGATGGTGACAGGTGAGATGACAATCGTTTTAAATTCAAGATGGTTGTCATTATACGATGAGAGTCGCAATCACATAATCACAGAGATGAAGACAATAATTACACAGGAACCGACCACGTGAAAATGTGAGAATGCATACTACTTTTTAGTTATTGTACCTGAACAAGCCTGATTCACTTGAGACTTTACCTCCAATACATTTGTAGCGCTATAAGGGACAGGCCTGGTTGTAATTAATCAGTTGCAACTCCTGGACACGAATGTTTAACATTCTTTTGTTTGTATTCACCCACCTACGTTCTTGCCACAAGACACGAAACAGTGTCAAGTCATGTTCGCGGAACATGGTCCAAATATTTGACATTGCGAGATGATTATCACCCAGAGGTGCTTTCTGCTTGTTACCTGTAGGCTTCCGTAGACGATTGTGTATAATTTTTCGGCTGTTCAGTGTGTGATATAATCTGTCTGGTGATCTCTCTTCGTCTGTCCACATACTGCACGTGGGCTCGTTCTGACGTAAACTTCGCAAAGAGGTGGAAAGTTCCCATAGTTTTTAATTTCATGTCTGTAATAACTACCAGTTTGTTGTTTATTGGCAGGATATAACAAGATAATTGTTTCATTTTTAGTTTCCGATAATTTATTTTTTTGAAAGTTAAGAAAGTCATTTCAAATAATTCTCAACGTGACCGTCTTTTGTCCTGTTACTGTAATTGGTGACACAATGAAAATATACATATCAAAGTTACCGGCCTATCCTTTTAAAGTCAGAGTAATCGAAGCATATTTTAGGGGCTTCGTTGTACATACACAATTTTTACTAAGACTGGCGAAATTTATACTGATGTTTTTTTTTCACCTCTGCAGCACTTTCACTGGCTAACTACCTGAACAGTCTTTCCCACCAGTCTCCCTGTGACTGCGAGGCGGTAGAGTGCCCCGGAAGTGACGTCACACCGACGGGCTATCTGATTGGTGTAGCACTAGTCGATCGCTTGAACATCGAAGGGTAAGGCATGAAGCAGTTGTAGCACAACCTCGTTCCCAGGGTGTCGAGCAGTACGCTCCCACCGCTAACTGCTCTCTCACGCTGGTATCGGATCATTTGCATATCCAAACATTTTGGATACGTATGCAAATGAGAAATAGTCTGCCCTCCCGTGCTTTACATCTGAGTTTGTTTTTGTATGTGATGTCTAGGTTGAAAACAGAATCAATTCGTTGCGGCGTGAGTCACGAAAACACAATTTTTTTTCTAAAGTTAAAATGTTATAATCTTATCCAGTCAATATGCAGTATCACATTTCATATTAATATGAGCAAATTGGAAAGGAAAAGATTATTTTTGAGAAGGCGTGGACGTAATAATTAATGATCGTGAAAACACGTAATGCACGTTGGAAATAACAACACCAAGTATACACGATATAATTCAATTTCTTGCCAATTGCGGTATCGATTCAGGATACAGGAAGCAAGTTCCCATCCCAGGGCTTACTATTGGAAACGAGATTAAAAATATAGCAAGCTCTGGGGACGAGGTTGGTTGTAGCCAGGTTCGGGTGACCTAAGAGGTCTGATGTATATCAGAAACCTTTCTGTTCGCTTTTTGAGTTAATTGGGTATTCTTGTGAAATTTTTCTACATTTTCGCCCTGAAGTCTATGCACAAAGTATTGAGTTGGGTATTAAGAGGGGGACTCGTTTACGTTTTGTCTAGATAAAAAAAGATAACGTAATACATTAGAAATTTAAATCTGTCGTGTAACGTCTGTTCCACTATAGTTTCTCCAAGAATAGGGAAAGGCACATCGGAATATCAGATATAGATCAAGCAATTCGGTGTTGCGTCTATTGGGTAGCTTTATGACATGACATATTGTTACTCTTCTTTTGTAGGGACTTTCTGTATAACGCACAGCTCTGAATTACTTCTGTATCCAAATGGTGGGTGAATGTCTTTGAAGCTGGTAGTAAATATACTATCCACATTTCAACATGCCATAAGTTTATCGACCCCTCGAAATTTGATTAATTTGAAGAGCATTTCTCCAGTGGTTCGCTCAAGTCGTTTTTTAATTTTTTTTTTAATAGATTTTTTCATTGGTGAACATGAAAATGCAAGACTACATAGATCAAAATAATGTATGGTTCAAATTAAAGACTGCATGTTTGTTTATTGCGTAGCTCAAAATCAATTTAAAAAAAAGTAATGTTGCCATTTATGTTTCTTTCCATGAATCAAATTGTATACTGATTAATCTCATTTTGGAGGCATGCTCACCCCCCGAATTGAACGTGACACACATCAGTTTAGGCATGGTATACCGGTAATAAGCATGTGATGTGTGAATTATCACGATATTCAACTGCTGTAAAATACGGGAATACTTATGGGCCCTCTTACAATTTTTCATGATACCATGGATTTACGTAATTTTCCATGTCTCCTCCCTCTAAATAGCAGTCTCAACATAATCAATAACAATTTCGGACTGTAATTTTCTTCACCGTTTTGGATGACCATTGGAATTTTCATTACGGTTGTGTTGATAAGGATGAACGGCATCCTATATTGCTGATTACAAAGACTGTTTGTCATTCCTTATAGATTGACATTAGATACAATTGCAGGTCAAAATACAAAAAACCTATTTCAGAAACGATTCCTAGTGTACAACTAACTCAATGAATTATTCGTTAATTTGAAATGAGGAAAACCGTATAAAACATAATGCAATGAATGTGAACTATCACCTGGAAAACACCTCGTACATTGACGTCAGAGGTTGAAGCTGATGGGTCCAAACCGTGTAAAGCTAATGCTCCCAGGCGATAATGACGACCTGAAATACCTACCCTCATCAAATATTCAGCATTTTCAACTCGGCACGAATCTGATCACTAGCGTCACGAGACCTAGGGGCGATGTGTCAAACCCCCCTCGGTAAAAAAGTCCAATGAAATCAAGGGGAACTTGTTGACGTGATGTCTATAACCGTGGGGGACTACGACGCGCCTTGCCCCGTGCGCTTCTGTGGCATTTCATGGTTAAAGTCAGGATCACGGGTAACATGGTGATTTTGGTATGATAAGTGCAGAGTCTGTGTAATTTGGGTTTTTTAAATTTTAACATAGTCGCATCATACAAGCCTCACAGAAGACCGACAAGAGTCACTTTTTATTGCCTGACCTACAAAGTTACAAAGCAGTAGACAGCTCGAACGAGGTCAGACTTGTATTCCAGTCGCCAAACATCGAGTCCGAGTCACCTGTCACGAGTCCGAGTCTCGAGTCATGCTGGTCGAGTCCAAGTCCAAGTTCGCAGGGTCGAGTCCGAGTCATTTGTCATCGTAACGCGAGTCCGAGTCCGAGTCACGGAAAATGGGACTCGAGTCGGATTCAGGTCCGAGTCACGAGTCGTACAAGTCTTAACGAGGTATAGGAATCTTATTGTATGTGCGAGATCATCTGAAGGGTTTACCAAAACCATTCCATAAGTGTGAAGTGGGAAGAGATGATGGAAAACCAGTAGATTTTGTCAGTCCCATTCTCCCGTACGCGGTAAGCAGCTCTTTTCTAGGTCCTGAATTATCTGCACATGGAGACAAACAGTGGATATGTATCCAAATGTATGCGATAAAACAACCTTGTTTACGAAAAGTGGCCAACCTTTAGAGCATGTGCTGTGCACCAGCGAGGGGTTGCCAGATCCTCCGTCTCTCCTGGGGCGGCATGTAAGTGCTATTTTCCCCGCCGGTGCAAGTGCCGATATTCCCCCTGGGCCTTGCCGTCGATGACGCGCCGGGGTGAGGTGCCACGCGTGTCTGCCACCATTACAGGGCAAAAAAAGTGTCTCCTGCGACGGGATATATTTCTCGACCGTCGCTGTCCGGCATCCATTGGCTCACACTTTCCGCTCCGATGCGGCCACAACCGATACCCTTAAGCCTTGCCACACTGAAGATAGTTTTGATCTTTAACGATCTCTTCTTGCTGTCTGTCATTAAAAAAAAGTTGATACCAAAAATATGGTTGCACCAATTCCTCCCTTTGTTTCCTGTCCGGGTCCATGCAGAGTACCGGAGGTTAGTTCCTTCGCTTTTTTGTGATTCGTAACTGCGTATGAAACCAGATTTGTGCCCAAATGTTGGGTTTGGAGTGTTGCCGTATTGAGCGAGCTGTTCGATTTCTTGGTGTAGCCCAATAGTGAAACTTTTTTAAGCCAAAGAAACATGTCGAGTTATTTTGCAAAAACACAGGGGCCTCGAACATTGCAGACACTGGACTAGCTTCACACACCTCTTTGCGAAATCGAGATCACATAGGCGGGTCACATAGGGCTTGGCAAGTTGTGCTCAAGTTTACATCGGTCAAACATCTGCAATTACGTCGGGAACCAGTGGTAAGACTACCAGAGAGTCAGCCCACCCCCACGCCGTCTCATAAATATATATTTTTTTGCATCTCAGTAAAGTCATTGACCGTAGTAATACGCATGCGTGAAACATATCACGTGAGCAACTAAATATGTCACCTGATTCCCACTAAGTTCCTGTTACTTATATTCCACGATGGCTTATATTCCACGATGGTCAGCGTGGTTTTGCTTTAGCGCGCTGCGTTAAATCGCTCGTCTGTATGCAGGAGGTTCCAGGTTGGAATCCTGGAGGGAATTTTATATTTTCATATTTTCCCCAAAAGTGAATTTTCTGACGTGAATTGTGTTTAATCAAGTCCTTGTGGTCGATACAATTTAGCCCCTTCTTCTCATTCTTGGCTCTGGAGGATTTAAAAACAAAAGGAAGTCTAATTAAGTCCGAGAGCTATTCTGTTACCAACTGACGCATGCGCATTATGGTCTCTGACTATACGTGGTTGCAGAAATAGTAATTGCCACGCGATCTGCACTTTCTCTTTAATAGTCCTATTAAAAATACAAACAGTTAATTTGATAATACCTCTATATATTTTTATTAAGGGCCTGGATGTTGATAATTACCCGAACCGAAGGCAAGGGTAATTATCAGTATCCAGACTCCAACCGGTCCTAAACAAAGTGTTTAATACCGGCCGAGCACATATATATATTCCCATTAATAAATACCTTTTCAGTCAAAACATCAAAACTTTTCGATTCAAAAGTCAAAAAAGTCAAAAATTATAAACTTCCAACGATTTTATTCAACATTTACTTAAACAACTCCTTATGGAGATTTGCTCGCGCGTCGCGCGTGCTGCGCGATGTAACGCAGAACGCAGCTGTACACCGTGTAGTGTGAATTTAGGACTATGAAAATACCCGCTCGCAGTATTGCGCATGCCTACGTGAGCACTGTTAACGTTCAACCAATAAAACGGTAACTAAAAGGCACCGGATTTCATAGGAGTCCAAATTTCGTGTGATATTAGAAAAGTGTTTAAGACCGGCCAGCCGGTCTTTATCAACCGTTTAAAACTGGCCACGTGACGGGCTCTCGACCAATCGGAATTGGTAAACTGTCTTGGGCATTTATGAATACAATTTTACGGAGGTCTTCACCTCTGTGGAAATCTGAATTCATTTATATTTAAGTGAGTAGTGTCTGCCGATAACGATAAAGCTACACTTTGATTACAGTGTGATAAAGCCACCTTTTGACTACAGTTTGGGAATCGAATGACTTTTAGACCCTGGAATAATATTGCAAAGGACCTTATGCGCTGCAGGTACCTCAGTGGGTGTTTTTTCTTAGTTAATTACAAGGAATGCACAACCATTTACTCATGCCTATTCCAGCGATACAAAAGTATTGCCCTCTTACTCCGCCTTAACGCATAAGGTCTATCGGTATTTACATAAAGCATTTCTCACTAAGCAGTAAGTAAAGAGGCAAGTTGTCCATCGTGTTGTATCGATGCAAGTGCACTATTTTGTTTCACCAGTCACGTCGTTTCGAGCATAAAGTTGCAGGTGCCTGTATACAGAATTTTCACGCGTTGGCGCGCTGCACGTAGACGCACGTGCGCCCTAACAACTCTCCAACCAAAAAGCGGTGTGCTCTGGCTTGCATAGAATGGTGTCGCCTTTTGCTGTCAGCATACGATAGCAACACTCTTTAATGCAGCGTGAGCTGTATACCAAACCCGCGAGGACGTTCTTAGGTTCTTAATGTAATATCCTTCGGCCCCGCTGCGTTCTCTCACATTGCCTTCACTTGGGTCCAAGGGTCGTAAATTCCACTGCTGATTGCAGTTATATTGCCGTTACCAAAATAAACTACAAACACTAAAATCTTTAACTTTTTAACAAGTTTTTGATAGCCTTTCATGTTATTAGTATGCAGCATGCATGAGTCTTAACTGGCTCAAAAGTACCGACTTGTTTATTGGTGATTATTTATTCATGTATGGGCCTGTTAAAAAATGTTCCAAGATATGCAAAGGTTGGTTTCTGTCGATGAATGGAAAATGCAGGATTTATGCTGAACTAAATTATTTATTTCCAGCCAAACAATTACATTTCAGCTATCTCAGTAAACGCATTATAAGGAAATGAATAGTATATGCTTCATGTTTAAGTCGAGACTGGTATCAATTATTTGCGTTGTCTTGCAAGACCCAAAAGGGCTTACATGCACACTATCTTAAATGGAAAATGCAGGATTTATGCTGAACTAAATTATTTATTTCCAGCCAAACAATTACATTTCAGCTATCTCAGTAAACGCATTATAAGGAAATGAATAGTATATGCTTCATGTTTAAGTCGAGACTGGTATCAATTATTTGCGTTGTCTTGCAAGACCCAAAAGGGCTTACATGCACACTATCTTAACTGCGTGTAGTCTCGCAATTGACAAAGAAATGCAGACCCATATGAGTTTTCCACATAAAGCTGACTCGTTGCCTTGGTGACTCCAGTACTTTTCGGGGAAAAAGAGAAAGAGGAATGATTAACTTTTTGTGTTTATTTGTTTATTTCAGGATGACGTTTGAGCCGCTCAACGTGAAAGCTGCCAATTTCGCCAAAGCGACGAGGGCGAAATGGTTCTCTGGTCTGGGCTGCGACGACAATGCACTGGTATTTTATTCCAGATTCTCCAATGAGGTATGTGTTTAATGTGCTGTGTTTTCCGAATTCTACAAATCGATAAGCAACTCATGGCGTGATATTACTGACAACAACCGACACAACAAAAATGTCGACTACCCGCATAGTTCCATCGTTTACTCGCATTTGAATTCACGTCGCGTTCACGTACCTGCAAAATGAACCTATACGGGTGGCGGTTAATGTTTGGTATCGAAATGAAATGTGTCCTTCGGCCAGTGGTACCGGTATCCTACCTAGTAATACCATGCATGCTGACATAATCCAATTTCCAAGGAAAAATGTGTTAACCCAACGGTTCATTAGGTGCACATGTAGGCCTACATCACTGATCTCATGTGGCGTGGTTATCATGATGTTGGACAAGAACGCGCAATAGGTTATTTTTATCATGCAATTCAAACACCTTCTTTCACACATTCATATTCGAACGGATATGCACGTCCTTTAAATTTGAAGTCAATGTAAGTGCCTAGTTCTATTAAAATTTCAATAAAATGGTAGCCTAACAACATTGATCGTTACCGTACTATTTACAAGTCAACACAGTCGTGTTGTTTGCTTTTCGAGAGGGCTTGAGAGCCCGTTTATTTATTTATTAATTTTTGAACAAATTCATAGTTTAATGGAAGACTGATTTCACTGGCTATGCTCACCTTTGTAAATTAGGCCTGAATAATATTCAATGGTTTTGTTTTCGATACCTTCTGTTACATATAATCTGAAGCATTTTATATATTTGGAAGTGCTCTGTCAGATCTGTCCAAATGGTAAAGTGCTTTACAATTTTGATGAACCTAATGTCGCCAATTCACGAATGCCCTTTTACTTGCATTTAAAAACCATTACGCAAGTCATAATGGCTGGCTAGTCACAAGTACGTGTCGCGTGCTATATAGGTTGAATAACACACTTGATGTTTTAATATTTAATGGCGAGGGGCCTCTAAGTCTGTGCATTTTGCATACAGCGAGGCCGACTGCACCGCCAGAATAGAACAAGTGCTCCTTTCCTGACAAATATTGAAACGGAGGGAGATGCATTCCGATGAATCATTGTTGACATTGTTTCGGCCAACTGCTGTTTATCAGCGCTGCGACTATTATGCGGGCCTGCAATTAATGACTGTAGCTCCGCGTCATTATTGCTCATGTAGGCCTACATACAAATGACATAAAGAGAATGTTGTACTGATGCACGAGTAGGCACATCTATAAAACCATTTTCATCCAGATGTTTGCTTTTACAATTGTTAAAATTTTGGAAATAAACAAATTTGGGAAACACGCAATAGATCCTTTGCACCGCGGCCAACTTGGAGGTGCGTGCTTTTGTTCAAGGGGGACACCCATGAGTATAGCCTCTTGTGCGTTCAATAATGACAGAACACACGTCCAATATTGCTGCTGAATGCCATCGATCTATGACCAACCCCGACATACATTCAACCCACTGAATATCTCGGTTGGGTTTTAGCGAGAGTGTCATTGAAGCCAGACATTGTAGCAGGATTCTACCCGCATATTCCTGGGGAAAAATATGGGCGATTGACTAAAATCATGACAAGAATAATTGTATGATGGCATACGTACAGCTAGCTGCAGACAGAGCCTGCAAAAGCTGCACTGAGTTGCATTTTGTTTTCGGTAAACCGTGTGAGCTGACGTGGCGGTCAGTCAGGGTACTAGACGACATGTCACTATACTCGGCTGTTAAGGTTGCAGACCAGTACATAAACTGCCATAGACCCAAATGATAAATGCCCCCCCCCCTTCAAAAATTCAGGAAAAATACTCCAAGGTATTCGAGACACACATAAAATTAAAGCTAATTTCATAATCTTTCATTTTCTTTTCAATTTTCGGGGGTTTACTGATGACTTTTAGGAGCAAAAGGCCATTCGAAGATGATTACCCCTTAAATGGTCCTGAAGCCCATTGCCATTTTGAAAAACGCCGCCTACACTCCATTGCAAAATAGAACGCTTTCAGGGCTCCAATGTCATCAACACATGCACAGAACTACAAGCTCATAGTCCTGTGCACGGCTTCCACCCATATTTTTACAAACCCTCAAGTTCATAACCCATAATATGCTCAAATAACGAAGAATTTGAGGGAATGCAAATCGTGATTTGGCCGGCGTGGGTGATTTTGGACCGATTTACTGGCCTGCAACCTTAAAGGTGTACTGTCCGTTAATAACAACTTTTACAAAATTTATTTCTAGCCGGGGAATAAAAGATCGATTGCATTGAGCAGCCGGTGTGTTTTAAAGAGGTGGATATCCCTGTTGAACAAAGTACACCTCAAATGTGATTGCAGTGCAACAATAATTGTTAAGACTAATGACTCCTATATATAGCAATATCAGTTCAGAACCAATCCGAAGAATTAAACCACGTAACATTTTGACTGTTGAGTTGATAACCCCATCCATAGCCAAACTTTTTAATGCTCAGTAAACTTATATGCAGAAACAGCGCATGATAAATTGGTACCATCATTATAAGCTAATTTGTTGGGCCACGTATAACTTTATGTTATTCCAGAAGTCATAGTTAATACTCAATGAAGTTCATCTTTAATGGGCTCAGACCAAGGGACGTCTAGTGTCTATCGTCAAGATATTCCAGATTTTAAGACTTAAACCTCGGATGTCTCACTTAAATTTTGACACAATGGTTTGACGAAAAGGTCAATGGGTTGAAAAAGATATTTTACGGAGGAGATACACTATCAGTCAAGGATTTCAAGATGTCCTTTCCGGCGTTTCTAAGTGGATCTATAAATAATCTTCAAAACATATCAGGGTTCGGTTTTATGTCAAGATTAGGGCTGTTCGTAAACACGTTTTTTAATATTTCTATTCTGTCTATACTTAATGGCTCGGTTACGGTGAGTTGATACAGAAGGGGCATAAAGGAAGTCGAGGTTATCTGCCTGCTGTGCACCGACAAAAGTCGAGTGTGAAAAGTTCAGCTGTATAAAACCCTCGAGGTTTGTGACTAGCATGTTGGCCTTTCTCATTATATCTCATTCACTTCACGGCTGGGCAGTTTATTGCCAGACGGTGAAACCAACAAGAAAGAGCCTGTCCTTGATTAGCAAACAACAAGCCGATAAAATTCCACCGGTTATTTTTCCCATTCTAATAACAAAAGCTTTTACACCGTAAATTGATGACGGCGAGCAGCGTTCGGCATTGGGTGTAGTATTTAGCCTAGAGAATAGAGAGGTTCACTTTTTTTTCTGTCAGTCGGAATTTTTTCCCCATACTCATTATAAAACTGCCTCTCGTAATTATAAACTGCAGTTGCGTGTTTTCTAATCGTTATGTATTCCTTATTTATTTATGTGCTGTGTCGTTTTTCAATAGGCCATATTATTGAGCGAATAAGGGTGCCATTTTCAAGGTAACAATTGTAAAAAAAAACAACCCCGATTCATAACAGCAGTTTAGTACCTTTACTTAAATCTAAAATTTAAACTTTACAAAGATGTACCTTTCAACTGTATTCAGTCATTACCCTTGGATCCACGTGTGTTTATACCCCCAACATGGCGACGTTGAGCACCCTCATCATGATGTTCGAGAATAAGGCCAATAGTGTCGAGTTTAGTTGTATAATATAATTATCGTTTCCATTTTGTTTTCACCTCTTAGTTGAGGAAGTTGAGTTTATAAACTGAGCTTGTTACCTCCGCCAAGGAGGTTATGTTTTCATCGGCGTTTGTTGGTTGGTTGGTTTGTCTGTTAACAAGATAACTCAAAAGGTTATGGACGGATTTGCATGAAATTGTTTTTAGGGACGGTCCTTGGTAAAAGTACAAATCGATTAGATTTTGGAGGTGATCCGGATCTGGGTCTGGATCCAAGATATTTTTAAAGGATTCTTCACCATTTATGCGGGTATTTCTTTTGGGTGTAGGCCTACTGACAATTTGGCGGGGAGTTGTTTAGTCTTGGCGGAGGTTTGTGCTCTCTGAGTGCTTTCTATTTTAGTTTTCTGGTCCTTGCACAGCTGTATGTGTATTTGTTTTTGCGCTTTGCGTTAAACGTGAAGAGGTAGTGACGTTATTGGTATCATTATGAAATATTATAGGACAATACTTCGGATTTTCCTTATTGAGTCTGTTCTATATTTCGAGTCATCGTTGTAAATTATTTGTTAACCAACTAACGACCCTTGGAAAAAGTAAAGAAAATACAAAAGGGCACTGTTTGGGTCATGGTTATGATCTTCATGGCGCACCTTGTGCTGAGTCTCTTAACCTACTGCCCTGCATGTGGAGGGCGTATACGGTACAGAGCAAAATATAGAGTGTATCTTTCATGCGAGCATGATCTCTCTTATAGCGATTTACTAGTATCAAGGATACGGTACGAGATCGTAACATCTGAAGTATGTATCATAAATTATTCATGTAACGACTCCACAGCAACCAGACGACATCGGGTGAATATTCATAGTGATTTTAAGACCGGATGAAAATGTCAGAAATTAAGCCGTAAGTCTCCAGTCCGATCGAGCAATCTTTGGTTGTTTTGATTCGGCGCGTAATAATGTATTGATATTATATTCCAAGTGCATGTATACTGTATCTATTGGTTGGAGCTCACTGTCAGTTTGTGTTTGAAAATCTTCTGCGCTGCCTGTGTGGGTCAATATTGGATGGGAACTGTGATATCTTCCTTAAATTTCTTTCTACATCGGTATTGCATGATGCAAGCTTTGTGAATAAAGCCCCATATTCTGCATGAAAAAAATGATGTAGACTTTGAGGAAGGGCCATACATTTTTATAAGGAGTATAGCTTGGTGTTCAGAGCTCAAGCACCGATTAGTCATAAACAAGGAAATACTGAAAACCTCCCTCCACTTCAAGATCACATTTTTGATGTCTTCACATCGTAGACACGGAATCCGGAAGTTTCATGCTAAAACTTCATTACGCTCCCACTAATTTATAGGTCTGCCTCTCAATTATTGCTTGCAGCATGCGCCTGGGCCTTGAGTCACTATTGATTAAATCAACCAACTGTCTTGTTTTCATTTCTCGATCAGCTGTACATATCCATCGGGGAGACGGTGGAGGGGGTGGTTTCCGACCTGGAATTGGCCAGTCTGTACCGCCTGGGGGAGCAGTATTTGACGGTGGATGACTCCTCCTCGTCGTCGCAGCGCGGGGCGGGTGATGAGGGCCAGACGACCCCTAGCAGCTCGGCCGTGACCCACGATGGCTTGGTGGCTGTGGTCAGCAATCTCAACGAGGCCATCCTGAACGGACCCAGCATCAGCTCAGATATCATCTTCGCCTTCTCCATCCCCTTGTTACTGCTAGTCGTGCTGACCGTCATGTGCCTGGTCTCAAATATTTGCTGTGCTCAAGACATATCGGTGCCAGAGCCATCAGTGAGTCGGAGGAGTAGAACTGAGGTGGATGCCAAGTCCGAGAATGAGGAGGATGCCAAGTCCGAGAATGAGGAGGACGCCAAGTCCGAGAATGAGGAGGAGACGAGCAGGTGATAAGGACGGGAGAGATGCTCAACTACCCGATCGGCAAGACAATGGATTTGTGAACCTCTGTTTGTTAAGGCAACATTTGAGCAGTGTAGAATGGCCAAGAAGATTTTTGATATAAATCAGGAAGCCTTTGGAGGCCATTGGCGTTGCTGTTCCCCTTTGAAACCGTTTCCATGACAACAAATGTGTCTTCGGCAAAAGTGATTAACTTAATTCGGCCAAATCTGTCGGCCTTGAGTCGCAAATTCAATGTTCCCAGTGTGTCACTGTGGTACCCATGCGCAGTCACTGCTCAGTCATCGTGTATCGCCTTCGAACATGTCTCAATACTCAGTAATTATAAATGGCATCTTTTGATATTCAAACAGAAAGCAGGTGTTTTCCATAATTTATGCCTTTCCTGAACTCAAAGGTTGTTCACTTTATAATTGGAAATTCCAACGCTGAACTGACTGGCATGTATTGAATTTTGGGCATTTGATTGTGCAATTAATTAAAAAGATGCACGTCAACTTTAAACAGTTTGAAATTGGTAAAGAAATTGTTATTAAAAGATCCTTTCCAAAGTTTCTAGCTGTGAAGTTGCACTCTTCCGAAATTAAACACTGTACATGGCTTCTTTACGGGATCTCACTTTGTCACTTCTATACACTATAAATGCATTAAACCACACGGCACACTTTGCATTTGATATAATTATTGTATGTGTCAATTTCAATTACTTGGCGCCAATCCAGTAATACATCACCCAACTGTTTCGTGACATTTTCATATAATTATTGAGCCTCATACTCTCGCAGCCGTAAAGCTAGATACACATATCTCGTTACCTACATTATTGTATTTATTCCGAAGTGTTATACTTGTATATGCAAATGTAATATTTTTTGGAGAAAGGTTTATAATGGGCATATTTTTATACATTATTTTGTAGGGTATACTTCAGATAAACATACGATCATTATGTGAGCCCGCGAAAACAGTTCGCCGACGTCATGCCTGCATGGATAACTTTTTTACATTTGGTTTTCACAGTGAAGTGTTTGCGTTGTAAAAATAATAGCATATCATTACTTTGGCTTGCTTGTACATATTATATAGCTTGTAAATATTATTTTAGCCAAATATGTCTTGTTAATGTGTTATAATGGTGATATATTTTGTTACTCGTCGATTCACCTTTTTCAAATTGAGATCTCGTGCACCACATTATTAAACACTGCTACGTTTGATATTGCTTTAATTGTCTTGTGTTTTCGACGTTAGTCATAAAAATGCAGTTTATGTGTTATATTACATGCAGGTTGTTGAGCGTCTTAGCATTAAGTTAGAATAATGAAATATGCAACTTATACTTTGTACATTTAGAAGTGTCGATTATTTTTTGTTCATGTTATTTGAAAAAGTCATCTTATAGGTTTCCCATTAACCTTTTGAAACTCTCATAAAACAACAACAGAGATCGCCCATATTAAAAAGTCAGAGTTGCGTCAGATATATAATATTCGTGGAAACAGACTTCTCCATTTGGCATTGCCAACTAAATTTTGATATAATCTGCATCATTGTTAAATTTTGGAGTGAATGAACCACCATATCCTGTCTCAGTTACATAGCTTTTACGAAGTTTTCTTCCAATATTTCCAATATATCCAAGTTATTTCTTTTGCTTTTGATTGTACTTAGTGAAATCTGATTTCTTAAATACATTTTACTGACCTAACTTTCTGTAATTATCTGAAATCAATTGCGAGGATGAGGTTGGTAGACCACGTGACCAGTTAACTTTATGGTTTTGAGCGATCGATTGGTGGGGTAAAATGAACATAATGCATGCAAACTCATGGAACAGCCGTGTAAATAATATTATGCCCGAAATTGCATACACTGGCCAAATCACGAATTTTATACGGTCAGTTATTTTCTTTTAATAGAGAGATTTGTGGCCCCTACACTTCAGGGGTGGTAAAATTGAAGTGTCCCAAATGCAAACCGGTCTTTGAATTTTTTTCTGAGAAATTGGGGATGAAATCGGACCCGAACGTCGCTCTATTTTGCGATATAGTGCAGGGATCATTTTTCAAAATGGCGATAGTCTTTAGGAATGCATTTTGGGTGTGATAATCTTTTTGGAGGGAAACTTGAAAGTGGATACATTAATTTGGAGTAAGTGTCTTGCTTACCTGATAGAGGTAATAGAGCTAGTAGTGAGTATTTCCCCCAATTTTTAGTGGTTGGGGTATTTACCATCAATTACTCGTCTGCACCTACAAGAAACCGAGATATACCACTGCCATTTTTTAATCTCATGGGGATCCTTTTATTCCTCGGGGAAGGACCACTCATCATTGTGTAAGGCAGTTTAGCGGACTTTTTTTGGCCGGAAAACGTTAGTCTTGATTGGCAGAAACAGCTACGGTATACACAAATACTTCTCTGGGTTAAACAATACCAGAAAGTTGAACTTCTTTTTATATGACACAATTTTCCTTTGAATGTGTACGTCATGTTGTCATACTACAACAGACCAACGATATTGTCAACCTCATGGGATAATCTGTCTGTTCACAGAATGGAATTTTTTTTAGAAAGTATTTGTCGAATTTCCATATTTTCTACAACCATCTGTTCCTTTTCACTTCTTCTCGATAATTACATTTTGTCAAGCCAAAGGATAATTAGTGATAACTAATTTCTTTAACCGCCTCGGAACGTGCCTTGGAATGTTCGTTTCATCTTAATCAAATGGAAAATCGGCCTTTTCAAAATGTATTTATTTATTGTCTCTCATGTTACGTTCAAAATCATAGCTAATAATAATGTGTTTATAAATGTCTTTGCATGCTGTTCTAACTTTGTAGGATTTGCATCAGTGCAACTGCAATGTAGTAAAATATTCATGGATAGTTGGTAAGGACCTGCATCATTGCCACTTACAATTTAACATAGAAACACCACGATCTCGTCATTAAATTATCATTTTTTTCAGTGCATCTCATTATTGCCCCTATCCTGGCTTGTATAGTCTGGTACCTGGGACCCATGCATGTAGCGCCCTTTTTTTAAGCCAAAAATAATGTACATTCTATAGCCGGTTGTGGCAACAATCTTGACGTTGACATTGGGTCCCAGAGACAAAAAACGTCTGGTTTCGAAGCATAATGTTCGATTGCATTACGTCAGCTGAGTTGCCACGGTAACCATCTCCCCGGCAACGAGGCCCGATTGATGATCACGGCCATGGTAATAATGCCATGTGGGCAATATATCTCTATGGCGGGACTGTCTTGTGAACATTATGGAAAATGCCAAGAGCTGTGCCTGCAGTGGAGCCAGGCCGCTTAAACTCGTGCGCATCACCTTCATTTTACGTATGTTGTAATGATCCCAGATGTAAATAAAGTCTCATAATATAAGCACATTATTGAACGGCCAAGTTCCATCCACGTCACAAAGCAAACAAGATGCAATTGGATTTACCATGTAGATACTTCACCGTTGCTTAGCGATGTGGACATAGACATCCATAGACATCCAACCAGAATGATCAAATGTCTGATATTTTTCATAATGTGATTTGTATCGAATGTCTTTTGAATGAACAGTCCAGATTTTCAGAATGATACTCCTAATTAGTTTCCTTTTAAAAGAAAGATTTATTAACCATATTGTGTTATTAATGTCTAGAGGACCGTAAATTTGCAGGACCATATATACAGTTTTGTTGATAAGTTTTAAAGATCCCTTATACACCCTTATAATCCTGAATAACGCGGACGTGACTGGTCTATTCAAGCACTGTACAAAATGTGAATATATATACCTTATTGACAACAATGACGAACAAAGATGGTTATTGTAGTCAGACGTAATAATGATTTCTATGACTGTTGTTAATTCAGTTCAAAAGCCCTATTTTGGCTGCTTTAATTTTGCGAAGTGGTGGAATGATTTTCCTGTTATATTTTGATGTTTTATCATAGTTTTCATTATACAATGAATATTCTGATCTCAGTATATGCACATTAATATTTAATTGCTTCGGGGAAAAAAGGAACATTATACATTGCAATTTTGTAATAAAAGGATCAAGTGTCGTACTAATATTGTTTCATTAAGTTGTCGTTTGAAAGTCCGTCTTGCAACTTTGTGGGGTGCTAATGGGAGCCACGCCCCCTCTCCTTGCCCAGCGGCCTCTTTTCGAATTAACAACACTTGGTCCGCCACTTACCCCCCCCCCCCCCGTCTCTGAAAATGTGGTTTTCGGTCAGCTTTTTCTCAGTAAAATGATTCCTGATTCGAAATTTAAAGTAAATTTACAAAATGACAGTGTGTATCGCGCACGCCCTCGGAAATTTAGCGTGACGCACTATATGCACAGCTGGTTGTCCTCACGATAGCTGAGCCACGTACTATACTATGTAACAACAGTCAGCATGTTATTACCACTGATCTCTATATAAAGACTGGATAGCGGATATGCATACAACATTCACACAGTAGACTTTGCATATTGACCAATTCGCCCCCGGTTTCACGAAGATGGCCACGTATATACGAACGTTCTACGCGTAAATACGCGCGAGTTTGTATCAACAGTTGACGCGCATTTTGGTCACGTACACATATTATGATGTTCTACAAGGAACACATTTCCGTAGTGATTATTATTTCAAAAACGCCGAAAAAGTGATTTGCGGCATTATAAAAGTAACCACTACGTTAGAAAAATTGTAGTAAACCTTGGTCAGTTGGTCAGTGGTGGTGGCCAAAATATAAGTCAAGTGAGCTGCGACGTTACAAAAGAAATCATGCTGTCTATAAAGACGGCAACTTGTCCTTTGTAGATCACCAGCCGGTCTCACCAATATGGCGTCAAATTCGTACATTGTGCGGCTCTTTATTAGCTATCCAGTCTTTATATAGAGATCAGTGGTTATTACAGGGAAAGCGCTTGATATTTCACGGCAATGTTTTTTTAGGGGGCGTGACCTGGGAGGGGGGCGGGGGCAGTGTTTCAAACAGGGTGTCTCCAATGGCGTTTCTGTAACAAATGCTCCCAAATCTGAAGGGGCCGATAGACCGTCATCCGATCACAGCAATTTCGAAAGAAAGGGGGGGGGGGGGGGGATTTGGGGTTGGATGGAGCTGGAAGTCAATGAACTCCCGTTGGGGGCGCCCTACAGCAACGCAGCCGCAAACAGAGTGCTTGTTTTCAGACCAAGTATCGAAGTCAGAGATTTGTTTCTCCCAATTTCTTGATCGAATATGGGTTATCCATCCTTCCTCATGCCGTACAAGTGGTTTGGGGACATTTTTCAATACCTCGCTTCTTTAAAGGTTGCAGACCAGTAAATCGGTCCGAAATTGCCTACGCCGGCCAAATCACGATTTGCATGCCCTCAAATTCTTCGGTATTTTACCCATGAACTTGAGGGTTTGTACAAAATATGGGTGGAAGCCGTGCAGAGGACTGCGAGCTGGTATTTCTGTGAAATGTGGATGATGATTAGGCCCTAAAATGGCTCTATTTTGCACTGGAGCGTAGGCGTCCATTTTCAAAATGGCGATGGGCTTCAGGACTGCTTTGAGGGGTGATCATCTTTGGATGGAATTTTCCCCCAAAAGTCATTGGTTTACCCCCCAGAAAATTGAGCAGAAAAGGAAAGATGATGAAATAAGCTTTAATTTGATGAACACCTCAGAGAGTTGTGAGTATTTTTCCTGAATTTCTGAAGTGGGGGCATTTATCATTGGGGTCTATGGAAACTTATTTACTGGTCTGCAACCTGTAGAGCTTCACAGAATCTTGTGAAGGAAGTGGAGGTGGCATTCTGGGTAACTTATCATAACTTATTATAAAGAAATCTAGCTGCAGCTGTTTAAGACCAAAGTTAGCTAATGCGCGCAAATGCTATCCGAAAACTCTCGTAGAAATGCATACATTCCATACCGGATGTGATTTCTTTTTCATTGCGGACCATGTGGACAAATTAGAGCGTCGCATGATATGCAATTTGACCCTTCGTGATTTCGAAACGGAGCCTGAGCAAGTGACGACTTATAAAACAGATACATTTTAAAGGTTTCCTTACATTATTACGCTTTTCAACGAAAAATAAGCATTTATGAATGAGAATAAAAGAGTATTGACTCGGTCTTAACGGCCGTTAAAACAATGCAGGGTCGTGGCCATTATGACTTGCATGTCACAGGTCACGCAAAATCTATCCAATCAGAGCTTATTTTTCCATCAGCCCTCCCAAGCGTCCTGTTTGCAGGTCTGGAGGGGGGGGGGGGGTACGAGCAAAGGGTCCTAGCTTGCTCTAGGGATTCACCCCTGTATGAGATTCCCATAGACCCCTTGCTAAATGAACATACTTCAAATTTAATCAGAACTCTCAAAGGTATTTCAGCTGCACAGAAAAATGATGATCAACATGTCATCTATCATTTTCTTTTCATTTTTTTGGTGGGTTGACCATTGACTTTTCGAGAAATTCTCATCCAAAGAAGACCACCCCTATTTTCCCAAAGCGGAAAAGTAGCCATCTTGAAAAACGATTCATCCACTACATGGAAAAAATAGCGCCACTTTTGAGCCCAATTGCGTCCAAAATGCTCAGAATTGGATGCCCAAGTTTGGGCCAGAGTTTCAATGCCGTATTCAATTCCCAATTGAATGGCTCTCAGGACTCTTTCATACAGAATATTTTGAGGGTATAACTTTTATTCATGAGCTCGGCGGATGGGTTTAGGCCTATTTACAAGTGGGGAGCCGTAGGCTATCAGCCAATTACAGCAATTGCGAGTTGAAAAGGGGGGGGGGCATTTTGAGCTTCAAAGTAGCTGAAACTCAATGTATTGTCGTTGGGGGCGCTCTACAGCTAGCAGGCGCAAAAAATACACTTTTTGCGGGCCTATAATCGACCTCAGATAATTTTTTATTTCAATTTTTTGATGGAATATGAATAACCAATACTACCTTTTTTCCCTTAAAGTGGTTTGGGGGGCATTTCAAACCTTCGGGCCTATTAAAGGGTGCACACCTGCAAATAGGCCTAAACTCATCCGCCGAGCTCATGAATAAACGTTATACCCTCAAAATATTCTGTATTAAAGAGATATGGCAATGAACCTCTGGCCCGGACTTGGGTTCGAATTTGGTTCGAAAGTGGCACTATTTTGCCAGGTTGTGGATGGATCGTTTTTCAAGATGGCTACTTTTTCGCTTTGGGGAAAATAGGGGTCGTCTTCTTTGGGTGAGAATTTCTCAAAAAGTTAAAGGTCAACCCACCAAAAAATGAAAAGTAAATGAAAGATGACATGTTGGTCATCATTTTTCTGTGCAGCTTAAATACCTGTGACAGTTCTGAGTATTTTTAAAAGAATTTTGAAGTATGGGCATTTAGCACTAGTGTCTATGGGAATTTTAATACAAGGTTGCATCCTTAGGCTCAGACTATGCACAGCCTCAATGGGTCTTATTCTTGTGAGCGAATGAGGGCGCTACAACAACACAGTTTGGGGTATAAACATGTTTACATATTTATTTTGTAAGACTTGCTTCAAGAAACAGGATTGTTTCTAGTGTTTGTATCTACCCAGAAAACAGTTTTGTCAGCACATCCGTTCGCCCAGAACATTGTCTAGGGTGCAAAACGAATTACAATGCAAAATGAAACACAATCAGCCTACCAGTTAGTCGGTTAGTTGGTCCTCGCATCGGTCAGTCAATCTGTTTGATTATTACTTGCTGGTTCCCATGCATCCCACATGAATCCACGCCCCTCTTACCATCAATAAGAAGAAGATGGAGGCTAAGGTAGTAGCTCACAACAGGTTTTGGTGGATTTCACTTTAATAGGGGTGGGGTGCCATTCCGGATACTGCACTAAGCTAGAATATATCAGAAAGATGGGGAAACTCACAGCAGCAGCGAGAGGGCGGCCTTGCTACACTTATTTTTAGGGCATCTAACAAGCGAGTCCCGTCTCTCCCCTTCCTTCCCCTCCCCATCCAGCTTCTCTTCCTGGCCAACTGCATTTCGATGCGGTCACCTAAAGAGTCAATTGAAACCTCTCACGCTTACAGTTATTGCACAGGAGGCCAGCGAGCAGAAATCCAGACTGATTCACCAAGGTTAGTAGGATGCTGCGGATGGACCGAGCGAGTGAATCGTCCCCATGCCCCGCCCATGTGACTCGCAGAAGGAACGTTGAAATTGAACTGCACATTGTAACATCCATCTAATTCTGACCTCTTGGTGATCAATCTCAGCCCAAGCTTTCTCAACGTCGGTTTCTGCTCCGATAAAGTTTGTGCCTCTGTCCGATCACTAACTCCGCAATATGGTGTTTCACGTCAGATCTTCTGGTGGGGCCTCCTTCCTTCAGCATTCCATCTTTGTCCAGAAATGGATCCAAACGATGGGGACGGGCTAGCCTTCTTAATGCGACGTCTGGTTTGTCTATCAGATTTATCTTCATTCTTCAAAGATTCAAGAACAGAGATCTCACCAACAAGAGACTCCTTTCATGGGCGTCGCCAGGATTTTTTCTAGAGGGGGGCAAAATTTTTTTTGCCAAAAAATGCTTGTATTTCTCAACACATTCTCGATTTATCAGTTTTAGAGGGGGGCAGGGACATTTTGCCCCCCCCCCAACTCATTAAATTTACACCACTTTGTCTTCGCGCCTCTTTTTTTTTTTTTTTTCCTTCCTTTTTCTTCCTTTTTTTTTCCTTCTTTTTTTTTTGCTTTTCCAGGGGGGGGGGGGCAAGTGCCCCCCCTTGCCCCCCCCCCCCCTCGCGACGCTAATGACTCCTTTTGTAGTTGCCTCAGTATCGTCATCATCTCAGCATGATGTAGATCTTTGGCTGCTACTGTTTCCTTGTTGGGCTGACTTTAGGGTGCATTTGTGACTCGACTGAGTACATTTTAGAATTTTCGCATGCTCATATCCAAGGGTTTCGGAAGCGCGCCACCATGGGGTGAACTTTCAGGCTCTATTGACAGAAAAGCAGAAAGCTTCAAAGTGGTATTCATAAAGGGCCTTTTGTCAATGGCTACGGCCATTGCAATATAGAGCGCTTTTAGGCCTCCA